AAATTCAAAATATGACACACACAACGAATATGAAACAAATACCCACCAAAATCAGGTTAAAGTGTCATACACAATTTATCGACGACTACCTTATTAACACTAGCATTATCACAAGTAAAAGATCGAATTTTATTCTCACAATGATATTCTCTAACAATACTGATAATAGCATTATATATATTATTAGCATTGTGAGGAAATTTAATAATTCTAAAAGTAATAATTTTCTTATGCATGCACCAAAGTGGGTCTATATAGTGTGCGGTTGCAGCTATATATGCTCTTTTATTAACCTCTTCCCATATATCAGAAGTTAAGGATATAACACCCCCATATTGTTGCAAATTCATAATTAATTATTGTTTTGAATTATTGAAATAATTTATTGTATCGGCACGAAGAGTGTTTCGACCTATCCCAACGTACCTCGGTTGTAGATATTCTTTCACGAACGAGACGAAGTATTGGTTGTCTGCAATAGCCAGAGGCAACTCAGTGGCGGCAACAAATTTCACCATTCCGGTTCGAATCTCGTCCTCTGAATACACCCACGTGGATATGGGTGAAGTTTTAGAACCGGCACCTGGACTGCCAAATTGTAATTGTGTTTGACCAGCTGGAAGTCCATGTCTGGCTGCACATGATTTGTAGTGGCGGTTGAGATGAGTTGTACTAATTCCTTTTTGCCATGCCAATCTTTGTTGGCAGTATTTATATACTATTTTAGATTCTGCAAGGCCATCAACGACTTTTCCCATTGAAATCAATTTAAAATGATTCCAACATTTTGCTTGTTTTTTGGCCTTTCGCTTTCCCCTCGCATCTGGGATATTTAATTCTGATCTTCATCTTCATGTTCCGCTTCGGGAATGTTAATATCATCCAAATCAATTGGAGTGTGGCTTCCCTGACCGTGAATATGAACATCTTCAGGTATCAGTATGTCATTTTGACCAGAAAATTCATTTGGAAATTGACTTTGCAACGTCTTAGGCGATTCTCCATGATGTGGCAGTGGCTCACATCCTGTATCAAACAAGCTCTCAACAAATGAACGTTGATCAATTTCTGTAATTGTTTATGATGAAATCTTGACTAAATAAATATAAATGTAGTGAGATTGTGAGAATTGAAAATTGGATGAATTGAAATTGTAACTAGTAAACTGTAAAAATTGAATTGATATTGTATATTTTGCAGCACAAGAGAGTAAAAACTCGATAATTGATATAATAAAAGAGAGTTGAGAGGGTTGTAATCTTGTAAGAGCAATTGATATGAAAAAAAATCTTTGGTGAAAGGGGGTATTTATAGTAAAAAGGAAGGGAGGGGGGAATAAATAAAATAAAAGTTCAGTGACCAGAACGGTCACTGAAAAGTGACCTGTGACCATTTTGGTCACGGGCTCGACGAGCCACGAGCCCGGCTCGTCTAGCTCGCCTCCCGACAAGGCCCGCTCGGCTCGTGCTGGGACTCGTGATTTTACAAGTTCGAGCTGCCCACGAGCCGAGTCGGCTCGGCCCAATTGACATCCCTACCTGTATATACCTTTGGTTTGAACACTTTGGCCTTTCCTCTGGTAATCATGGGATGATGTGATTGATCATTGGTCTTTTCCTTGTGCCTCTACCTCAACTCATCGGTAACTAACCGTTGATTATTTATGTGATCACCATTGTCTGGTTCAAGTATTTCACAATTCTGTGGCAAATCAGCTTTTGCTTCTTTACAGTGCCTGTTGGTATCGCTAACTGGCTTTTGGAAAATTTCATTATCTCTTTCATTGTTATCAAGCTGAAAATTATTACTCAAGCTAGGAGGTCGGCAATGCATGACTTGGGTTGCATCAAGAGGAGTAGTATCAGTAAGATTTAGAACATAAGTTGAGTTATTTGGCTGATGATTTGAACCAGGAATTGAGTTGTTTGGTTAATGGGGAAGTGAAAACACGATACTATTGTTTCATGTATAGTAGAATATGACTCCTTTTCTATAGAGAGTACAGACTCGAAAGGAAACTCAGATTCATTGAATGCTACGTGTCTTGAGATGTACACTTTTCCTGTTGAGCTGAGACACTTGTAACCTTTATGAGACTCACTATAGCCAAGGAAGACACATTTGGTTGAATGGAAGCTGAATCTGTGTGCTTGGTAAGGTCTTAAGCAGGGATAGCAAGCATACCCAAATGTTTTGAGTGCTTCATAGTCAACTTTCTTTTTGTGTAAGACTTGAAATGGAGATTGAATTTTGATTGTGGGTGTAGGCATTCTATTTATGAGGTATGTGGCTGTTTGAAATGACTCCTACTAATATTTTAAAGGCATTTTTTGCTTGAGCTAAGACGGTCAGTCCTGTTTCTGTTATATGCTTGTGCTTTTTTTCTACTCTTCCATTTTGAGCTGAGGTATAAGGGTAAGGGTGTCTAAACTCAATTCCATATTGTTTTACAAGGTTTGCAAAGGGCCTATATTCTTCTCCCCAATTGGATTGCAGGGTTTTTATCTTCCTTTCAATTTTGATTTCAACCAATTTTTGGAATTGAATAAAGATGTTCAATGCTTCAGACTTTTGTCTCATAGGATATATCCAGGTGTATATGCTAAAGTCATCTAGGAAAGTGATATAGTAGTTAAAACCTGAAGTTGATTGAGTAGGTACTTCTCTCCAGACATCTGTATGTATAAGTTCTAAAGGGGCCTTAGCATGCGAAGTAAATAAGGAGAATGGCAAGAAGTGAGCTTTTCCAAATTGACAGGCATCACAGAAGGACATAATTTCATTGATGTTCACTTTTTGATTACATGCTTTGAGTACTTGAGACACTATTTGACTAGATGGGTATCCAAGTCTCCTATGCCATACATTAATTTGGGAATTTGAAGACTCTTGACATGAGTTAACAGAAGAAACAGTACAGTAGGGTTTATTTGAGATGGCAGACTTCTGATGAGAAGACTGAGTATTTAGATAAGGAAATTCCAGCTGATGCAACCCTTCTTTAAGCTTCCCTTGCAGCATTACCTCCCTCGTTTGCTTGTCTTTAACAAAACAAAAATTTGAGTGAAATTCTATACAGACATTATTTTCAGATGTTAGCTGAGAAACACTTATGAGATTTTTTTATTGCAGGCACTTGCAGCAGTTTATTCAACACAAATGGTTTGTCAGTTAAGGTGGTCAAGTGTTTAATACCAATATGTGAGATATGCAGTCTATTTCCATTGCCAACAACAATTTTTTCCTTACCAGTGTACTTACATGTTGAATTTATATTTTCCACTTCTGCAGTGACATGGTTGCTGGCTCACGTGTCTGCAAACCAGGCAGGTTCACTTACAATGTTGAGAGATGCCACAAAGGCTATTGGTGATGAGTTGTAGCTACTTCTCTTATTTGGTGGTCTTCCTGTATATCGTTCATCATATCTGAAGTTGAAGATATTTGTCTTGTGTCCAATTTTGCCACATACTTGACAGATAGGGTTGTCACTACTATTGAAGCCACACCTCTGTATCTGCCCAGATAGGTTTGTCACTGCTGTTGAAGCCACCACCTCTGTATCTACCTATTCTTACTCCTCTGTTAAATCTCCTACCATTTTTTGGCCTGCAGGCTCTGAACTGATGGTTGTTTAATCCTGGTTTTTGGTTGAAATTGATTGATGTTTGATTGAGGTTGATTTCTGCCATTTCATTCTTAACAGCATTGAGATGTCCAAGCCTGCTTTCAAAGGTCATGAGAGTTAATTGGAGTTCTCCCTAAGAGATAGAGTCCCTGCTGTTGATTTGAACAACAATGGGAAGTATATTCTTCATCCAAGCCAGCCATCACTTGAGTTACAAGATCTGAGTGAGGGATGGGTTTTCCAGCATTCTCAAGATTGTCTGCTAGAAGCTTTACTTTGTTAAGGTATTGATCGATGCTTATGGTTCCTTTTCTCAATTTCTGAAGTTTCCCAGTGAGAAATGTTATCCTAGATTTGTTTTGGATGCCATAGCTCTCTTTCACTGCAGTCCACAGTTTGTTAGAGTTACTGCAGCCCATGACCCTCATAGTTATATTAGGGGTCATTGATGAGTAGAGCCACCCATTAGCAGCTGATCGTTGACATCCACTGGTCATATTCAGGGTTCTTTTTCATCTCAACTACCATTCCTGCATCTCCAATGATTTGGGTGCCAATGAATTCTGGAGGACATACCTCTGTCCCCATAAATGTATCCTTCCAGATTGTGTCCTCTTATAATGGGGAGGATTATGTTTTGCCAAAGCAGAAAGTTGTTCTTGTCCAGCTTGACAGACAACATTTGGGTTAGGTAGACACCAGATGGTGGGGAATGGTTGCTTTCATGCACTGGAGGCACCACTATGCTTGATTCAAATGTTGGAGCTAGACGAGAGTTGGAATTGGCATTGGGCATTGCAGCTCTGATACCAAGTTAAAAATGATCTATATTTCTTGGTGTTTTTCTTCACATTACAGACGCCCAAGCTAAGGGAATTTATACACATTACAATGAAGAAAAACTTGGGGAATAAGTTACAAGAAAATTTTAGAATATACAGCTGGAGCAATATCCTGGAATCACGATTGTGAATGGAATCCACCAATAACAGAATTCCTGCAAGCATCAGAAATTGTTGATAAGGCAATAGGGGAGATAAGCTGATTAATTGATGGACTCTTGAGCTGAAGGTTGACTTATCTTAACAAGAGAGAATGGAGATAGAGAAAATGGAGACAATAGGATTTGAGTGAAATTTTGGTTTTGTGGGTTGGGTGGGGTGGATGGGAAGGGGCGTGGGTATATTAATTTAATTTTACAATATTAGTATTTAATATTAAAATTAAATTATCATCTGAATTTTGTATAAATAAATCTTTAAATTTGATTTTTGAAATTGATTGTCCATGTAATTTCACTTTTCCCAATTTGAAATGTCTTTAAAACCAACTGCCAGCCGAGCTCGGCCCGATTATAACCCGTTTCCAGCCCAAACAAACTCAGCCTAAATCCCAATTTCCAAAGAAAAAACCCAACTTCTTCGTCCAAAATCACCGTCTATTTCCCGACCGGCCACCCAACATCTCCGTCCAACGCCGGCTGCCGCTGGAGGTTCCAATTCACATTCCCCCAGAAATTCTAATAAGAACAATGGATGGAAATATTAAAATATCCATCGACAAGCTGCCAATCAAACGCCTAGATGCTATTGAAGAAAACGGCTCCGAACGCTTTCCTTCGTACGCACTCTTATTACATATACACACATTTATATATGTATACATACGTATTTCATAGTTGTCATAATGTATTTGTGCAGTGATGTGGACTATGATGAGAATAGGTTGAATTTGATAAGGAGAATAGACTTTGGGTGGGCGGTGGAGAGGGAGGATCCCAGTAAGAAGCAGAAGAGTGAAGGTACAACAACTTCTAAGGATAGTAAAACCACCAATCAGCAACCAGGGCAATGGCAGAGCCTTGTGGAAAATCTTCAGTTGGCTCGCCAAGAGCTCTCTGTCATCATCGATCTCATCAATACTGTAAGTTATTTTACTTCTCTTCATTCGAATGTGATGAGCAATTTCTCTCTCTGTGATTTTTTTTTAGCTCTCAAATAGTATCACCTTGTATTTTACTTCTTATGGTATTTGTTGGGAAAATGGTGATTTGTGTTTAGAATCATCATAATAAAATAACAAATACAATTCTACAATAATATAATATAACATAAAGAAGAGATTTTGAAAAAGCAAGCCTTGGGAGTCACCGTTCTAAAGTTGTGTTGTCTCCCTTTTGTGCGGGCACTTTTGATACTACATAGCTCCATGATAAAATTGATGTGGCTTGCGGCCGCGATCATAAGGAAATAAGCGAACTAACCTTTATTGAGTTGCCAAAAATATATAAATAGAATGTACATGAAGGGTTTTGTGTATTCAAGTTGCATATCAAGTTATATATACAAGTTACACTATAATATTAAGGGGTTCTAATTTTTGTTAAAACTGAAAATTAAATGGTTGAACAATTAAAACTTATTTTTATATTTTACAACAATCCCCACAAGTTTTAAACTTTGAAAAAGATAAATACATATATAATATATATAGAGGGTGTTTGGTGGGAATTAAAATTAGAGTTTTTAGTGATAGAAGTTTTAGAAATGTGTAGTTGGAATGTTGTGTACCCATGAAAGATGTGGTTAATATTGATTATTTGATTTTGATTTAGATTAAAATCATGTTTTAATCCAAATGAAACAGGCTTATATTGGAAACTTTAATATTGTACAATTGGTGTAGGTGTCTTTCGAACTTGAATCTCACTTAGTGATAATAATTTTCATTTGAGGGAGCGAAGAAACCTTAAATTAGGTTCCTTTGACCAAACTTTAAGTATTCCTCACACAATATCGATATATGCTCTAGTTCATAGAGGGTAGCTCTTTTAATAGTCATGCACTCTAATCTTGATTCTAGTAAGATTCTCTATGGAATAACCCAATCCCATAGTCAATGACCTCATGACAACTCTTACATATGTGACTGCTTCAAGAATCGTGTGACCTACATCTCGCAAGAATTTTCGCCTTGATACTTATTCAGAGTTACGTCATTCCTAACATCACATTATAATTAGCACTATCACCATAGGGATAAGCACGATATAAGTAGTTCTATTACGAATCACGTAGTACAAGTTGTTCTACCACATTGAACCTTCTTCATGGAATCTCCAATCACAAAAGGTTAGGTTAATCTCGTAGGTGGCTCCTTTATAAGCTTAAACTCATTCCCTCGATGATTTATTTTTGTTCATCTCAAACTACAATCTATTTATGTCCTTTATTTGCAAAACTCTTTCGCTTGCAATCTGCATATCTGCAAAATCTTCTTAGGAAATTTTCAAAATATCAACGTTACATATTTGAGTATAATATAATATACATATGAAATTTCAAATATTGACTTTTAGTAACACATTTGAGCATATGCATTCATCAATTCTTGTAATTTACCTGCAGATCATTCTTCAACACTTTTCAAAATCAGTTTTACATTTAAGGATAATAAAATATATGAGATGTATATCTGAAATTTCAAAGATATCCAACTTGTGGAATTTCTTTACCACATTCGAAAGTAGATTTTCTTTTTTAATCTTTTTTTCCTCTCCTTCCTCGTGATTATAGACGGGATGTCACTTACTACAGAGTTAGAAAGGACAGCGTCTATTACATAATGTGAAATTCAGTGTACATGACTATTTGTCAAAATTAATGTCTCACGATTTAATTAAATAGATTAAGTGACCTTTACGAGCCTAGTGATTATATTGGTCCAAATATAAATATTTACAATTATTTTCCACTTGGACAACATAATTGAATACAATGATGCCCATGTATCACAAAACATTAGACAATAAGAATTAAAATATAAATATATATCAAATATGGTTTAACAATATTGATCTAAGCAAACATGCCTTCATAATCATAAAATGGGCTTTAGATGCAAAAGATTTGCAATTTTGTACTCGAAATTAAATTTTTAAATAGAGTACATTAAATGTACTACAAAAGAAATATTATTTTTAAGGAATAAAATCACATGGAATTCTAACAAATATAAAATTTGACCCAAAGAATAGATAAATTTACGACATGTGCTAAACATCAGTGTTATAACAAATATTTGACTAATTAAAATTGCCAATCAAAATAATGGGTTAAAATAACATGAATGCACTTGAAATCGATAATTACGTTGCTAACTTTCGCATTTTAGTTTTCTTTCTTCCTTTTCCAAGTTTATTTTGTAAAAAAAATATATTGCACACAAAGCCGTTATACTCATTATCCATACTTAATATATATAAAACAGAGAAATAGATTGAAAGATCTTACTCCCTTTGTAGCTTATAAAATTTTCACAATTAAGAATGACCATAGAATCATAGTAATGGAGAAGTGTTTTCTTGTGGTTGGCTAGAAGATGCTTTTGACTGTTCCATAGGTTTCATACAATGACTAGCATGTGTTACATATATTTCTTATCTATGTAAACAGCAACTAGATGCTGTTGGTATGCCTAAAACGCTTTTCAAAAAAAAAAAAAAAAGGTTGCTTAATTATCAAATCTACATTCATCAGGAATTAGAATATTGCATATACTGCAGTCAAAGAAGCATCAAAACCCCTCTTGTGGTAACAATACATTATTACTTTTGCCATTTATTCAAAATAAAGAAGAACATAAATCCAATTAGTGGTTGTAATCAAGTGTGAGGAGAATCTAACAACATGTAAAATTGGATTAGTCACCAGATTGCACAGCAGATAAATGCAGAATTAATCTCCATATATATGAAAGGTAACTAAATTCCTTGTCAAATAATTGAAAGAAGAATAAACTTGTAATATCAAACTCACAGGAAACATCTGATTAAGACTTCGATAGATTTTATTTCATTCATTTATTTTTTTCACTTATATACACATACATAAAGATCCAGTCTCAGCAATCTAAAATCACAGGTCCACAAGAAAGAAGAGAAAGAACCTAAAAAAATTTTGTACGTAGCGGAAGAAAAGTAATGTAGACTCGATATACAAGGAATGCCAAACTTTAAAGCACCATGCACCAGAAATGATGTGAAAAATAGTTACACATAATGCACATGGAACTTTTGCTAACAGTTTACCTGTGAATTGACCCTTATTTTGAAGGTTTGTTTACATGATTGCCTTGCTGACTTCACATTATTGTGCTGATGAATCGATTAAACTAATTATTGTTTCATTCATTAGAAGGTACAAAACAGGAAAGGTGAAAAAAAGGCTTAATATGTTAATCAGTGTGTGACTACTGTATGCAATATTTTATCATTAGTGGATACATAGATATATACTTACGAGGTTTGAGTGGCTGACTAAATTTTACAGTTAATTGTGAATAATCTCTTTTTATTTTATTTACGTAGTAGGGTCACATCAAAAGTTAAAATGTCACTTGGTTATTATTTTTCACAGATAAAATAGAAGTAGATTATTTCATAATAGTCATGCTAAGACTAGTACATTAAGTGTAAGTTTATATATGAGAGGAATCCAAATATGGTAAATTACTCCACCTCTTGAAGATTACACACCTTAGTATGAGATTCACAACCACCTTAGTACAAGATATTTGCAAAGATGTTCAATCCAAAATTGCCCACTTACAGTTTTGAAAATCATATCAAATAATCCATGAGAAAAGTTCATTTACATACAAATCATTCGACACGACTTTAGATTGTTGGGAAAATGGGGTGATTTTTGTGCAGATTGATTATCAATTAACATAATGAAATGACAAATACAGTTAAACAATAATATAACATAGAATAAAGGAGATTTTGAAAGCTAGCCTTAGGAGTCATGTTAAAGACGCTATCCTAAAGTCGTATTGCCTCCTCTTTGTGCGGGTACTTTCGACACTATATGACTCAAAGATAAAACTCATATGGTTTACACCTAATTCTCCTTCTATGGGCACGATCATAGGAACATAAATGAATGATCCTTTATCGAGTTGTCAAAATTATATAAATGGAATGTATATGGAGGATTTTGCGTATTAAAGTTGTATCTCAAGTTATATATCAAGTTGTATAAAAATCAATATCTTTTATAGTGAAAATTTCAACCCAACATTTATTGAATTAAATCCAATTTATATACAAGTTACACTATAACATCAAGGGGTTTTTAATTTTTGTTAAAACTGAAAATTAAATGGATGAAAGATTAACACCAGTATTGTCTTATTATCTGATTTTTTGAGGTATTTATGAAGAAATCTTATTAAGTGGAAATTTGGGTTTGACTTGGATTTTGAATTCGGTGTAGTTTGGTTTTTACATTGAAGCATGTTTTAGTAAGTTTCTTGATGCAGACCACAAGAGGATCGAGCAAAAGTGAATATGAAGGGCTACTTTTTAGAGAGATTTACTGGACTTGAATTGTTTAAAGTTTAGGTTGTTCTTAAATATGTTGAATCTTTGAATTCTCTTCCTAGTATTTCAAGGTCATGGATGATCCGACATGTGGGTTTTATAAAGGAATATTTGAGCTTTGACAATTCAAGTTACTGGAGTTGCTTCGTGAAATCAAAAGCATGGTAAACTCTATAATCTTATTTCTAGTTATGAATTAAAAGCATTATAATGCTTTATGAAGACTCGAGGACCCCTAAATTTAGTAGGATTCTTGAAGGTAATAGTTAACTAATAACTCTAAATAAAGAATGACACGACCATTGACTTAGAAAGCACCCGAAGCTTATACCATGGGGCATGGCTCACCCGAGGCCTTCATTAAGCACCTCAAGTTTATGCCTTTAGTGCCATTTGCCAAGGCTTGTGCCTTGGTTTATTGAGGTGCAAAACCCTAGGCATAAGTCTCAGGGTGGCTGAGGTATGTGCTTGTTCGTCTCGCCCTTTTGGCTTCTGTTTACCAGCCTTAATGTTTAGGCTTCTCTTTTTATAGCTTAGAACGTCTTAATTTTTTCTTTTTTCCTTTTTTTTTTAGCCATTTTAAAGACAATGCAACCTTGATAACTAGGAATAAAAGGAATTGGAGAAATGAAAAGAGAGCAAGTGAACAAGTGTATGACACATCAAGTATAATAATAATAATAATAATAGTAGTAGTAGTAGTAGCAGCAGCAGCAGCAGTAGCAGTAGTACTAATAATAATAATAATAATAATAATAATAATTATTATTATTATTATTATTTTGTCCTCTCCATGCTTTTGTTTCTTTTGTCTACATTAAAAGGAAAAGGAAAGGGAAAGGGTAAGGCACTGCTGCAAGTGGAGGATAACAGAAAAAGAATGGGAAGAAATTGAAGCGATGAGGATGATGTTAGGGGAATTAACTATGCCGGTGATTTTTTTGAAGATCTTAGTAGTAGTGATGTGGAAGGATCCCATTAGTATTGATGATATCGAAGACCTTTAGGCTTTTTCTGGTTCTAGCAGTGGACAATTAATTTTGTATGTGATTACTAATTTGACTATTCATCATTCGTTATTTTATTGACGAGTTAAGAGTTTTAATTTTGTTAATGCTATTATCATGAATTTTCAAAATGGTTTAATTAATTATTGGCTTGTGTTAAGGTTGTGCATCAAAAGATCTAGAGGCTTTTGCCTTGTCTCCTGAAAGTAAAACACCTTGGTACCCAATTGAGCATTTTTAAAAATTCACACAAAATGTTCCCCAAGCAAAGCACCTATTCCAGAAACTCTAAGAAGATTCAAATTCTGTTATGAAAAGTATTTTTGACCCAATATTAACTTGAAAACTACAGATCTAAAGCATGTTTATGCATGCCCTACCGTATATGCAATTCAAGGTGTGGTTGGGCTGTAGAATATCTTTAAAGGAGTTTATAATTTGCCAGAAAATTGAAATTTATATTTGTATTTTTTTTATCCGCTTCTGCCTGCATCATTGCCCCTATTTGAAAAGTCAGCCTGAATTTTTGATGTGAGAATCCATAATTTTTTGAACTGGCAACTATGCCTGGGAAAAGATAGAGGAAGCATACCATTTTTTCTTTGCATGAAGCACCAATAAAAAGATCAGAAATTTTCTTTTTCTTGCATCAGGTAATTTCTTTGGCTTGATACCATAACAGCAAAACACGAGGTAGATCAAATGTCCAAATGCTCCCATGTTCATAAATTGTCATACATCTTCTATGGGATCACTTCCTGTCTATAATTGAGGGTGGTTTTATAACCATCACATTTTCTTTTGTTCTATTGCTTTTCACTTGGACTAAGAGCCCTTTTGGTATGGCTTTTTAAAGGTCAAAAGGAGTTTTTAAGACTTGAAAATTGCTTTTAGACCCGTTAGACTAATTTTATGAAAGTGTTTTTTTAGAGGAAGCTGGTTCAATGTGGCTTTCTCTAAAAACATTTTCGGAATGGGAAACTCTTTTAAAAATTAGTTCCCAAACAAAAATAAAGGTAGCTTCCTCCAAAAACTCTTCTATAGGAAGCAAAAATAAAAATGAAAGTCATACTAAACGAGCATAAATGTCTCCATCATATGTTCATTGTCGTAGCTAGTCCTTGTTTTGCTTCCATTTCTTAAAACTTATTTTTCCTCAAATCATTTTCTACCACACATTTTATGAAACATACAACTTTTATTAATTTTTCAACCATAAATTTCACAAACTTTTATCAAAATTTACTAAAAAATTATTTTTTTATCCAAAGCAAATGCGGAATTATGTACCAATTTTTTTGGCATTCTTATCATCGAACTTTTACTAATTAAGATGTCGTATCCGTTAGGAGATTTCCATTCACAATATCCTTTAGAAGGAAAAATAAGAAAAAAATCAACAAAAAAGCAGTGTGGCAAAAAATTTGCCCCTCATTTGAAAGCACGTTAACAAAATATTGGACAGATCTTCAGGACCACGAGACGTGTTGATTAATGAGAGATTGATGATAAGAATACGAAATAGAAAACATGGATGCAAAAGTGCGAGATAAGTAGAGATTGGGGACCTATATTGCAACTAAAAATTGGTGGAACAAAAGAAAATTGTGGTGGCAATATAACCATGCTAACTGAATCTTTAAGAATTGCCCTCTTGTAATTTACTTTCAACATTTTCAGTCAAAAGATGATATTTTGCTCCCATTGATGGATATATCCTTAAGATCACTAGTAACAATCATTGCACTTGCCAACCATTTTTTAAATGATTTCAAAAAATCAAATTTTAGAATATATAACCTCAGTTTGGGAAGAATTTATGAATGGTTTGATTTATAAATAGATTAAATGAGTGAAGGATAAGTGGATAGTACTTGTGAGTATATTGTAATTGTGTGGTTAAAAATGAAGTTTGTCCAATTTATAAATGATATATATTTCCCAAATGGGGGCATTAAAAAAAAAATGCTTCCCGTCTCTAAAATAAATAAAAATTCTTCATCTCCAATGACTTATGTAGTTAAGTTTTAGAAGTTGTTCAACAAAAATTCTCCATTACTTGGGATGGTGATATTTAATCATCTATGCTGGTGAAAACTTGAACTACATTGAGCACTTTGCTTTGGTAGCAGCAATTGAATGATTTTCCTTTTCAGCACAAGCAAGTATTGTACTTACGCTCACTGACCTTCAATGACAACAATTTTCCAAAATCTGCTTTTGTTATTTCCTCTGGCACTACATCACAAGTTCCATCCTGGACTCCTTTCTGAGTAATCAATGACAGTTTCTGTTTAGATTTTAAGCCCATTTTCTTGATTTTCTTCAGCCTTTGTCCTTGATAACATGCTTTGTTTAGTATATTACTCAGCTGTTTCTGCCTTTGAAGTTAAATGTTACTCAAAGAATCTCATTTCGCTGATTATTAACATTTTTGGTCATCATTTATTTGCATGAACAAGAGAAAACTAGTGATTTAGTAGAACTTTGGGATGGTTTATCTTTTCAGTGATTTTGGATGAAGTATTTTTGAAGCTTGGGAAATTTTGTAATTCTTGAGAAATAAAAAGTAGAATAGAAGGAAAAGAAATAAAATATTTCTTCACCCCGCGATCTCCACAGGAATCTCAGCTAGTTTTGGAATTACAGCACTCAATCCAAATGGTTACTCAAGCTCTCTAAAACTCAACAATTACATCTCTATTTTATAAATTTCAAGTAGAAGCTTTATACAAAACTCCAGGAACTCCCTAAACCCAAAAGGTATCCTACTTTCAATATGAGAACTCAATAAATACCTAAGAAACTAGTACTAATGACTTCAAACAAAGTAAGATTTAACCCCTAATTGAAGTACCTAATCCAGAAATTCAAGAAGATACCGATTTCTTGAAATTATCACAACGGCCTGATGGGGGATAGAAAAGGAAACTTAAAAAATAGGATCTAGTGCAGATTTAAGTCTAACCGAATAATAGATTGGGCTAGAATATCCCCAAAATACCGTGTGTTTTGCCAAATAATATTCCCTTTATTAACTTTTTTCTTGATCCTTTTCTTGCCTACGTCATTACCACTTGGCCTTGTAGTCCATGTCCACTTCTGTTAGATGATGATTCTATACATAATATTGGGACATTAGATTTCTAGTTTATATACCAGATAAATTGACTAAGATGAAGTTGACTGATATTTTAGGAACCTCAGATTCCGATTGACTTATCCTGCAGCATTCTAGATTAACTATGACATAACTGAATCCTCTGATAAGTGACCAAGTTACTTTATGCATGTTTCATTTTTTTCATTTGCTCCATATTCTGGTTTACTTTCATTGACTATGAAAGACAACACCCATTAGAGAGGAAATAATGCTAAACTAAAGAATGACAAAAAAATTGAAGGTACATTCCTAATTTACTGGTTTCATAAATTGCATATAGGTAGAGGCGAATGATGCAGTAACGGTTGCCGGCATGACCAGGCCAAAGCAGTTACCCAATGAGATTTTGTCTGACCTGGCTGTATCTACTGCAACGAAGCTACAGTGTTTCCGTGTATTTTTCTCTCTTTCTCTGCACAATTGATAGGCAGTGACAATGTCTTATTCATTTAAAATGTAGTATATATATTTTCTGGCGAGCTATCATATAGAATTTCTGCTTAATGACTGTCTAATGCACGAGGTCTTACATGTTACTTTGCAGCATCTAGGAAAATATTTCAAGCAATCAGCGACAGCATTAGAACAGCAGGTAGCTAGAGAAGCAAGATTTTATGGTGCTCTCATTAGGTGAGCGTGCATACCTTTGCAGGTCGTAGATTTGTTGGGTCTCAGATCATAAGATACATATTCTTGCTTCATATCACTTGTTTTTTCTACCCAATATTACTCTATTTCATATGCTTATAAATGAACAAACAGATTGCAGCACAATTGGAAAGTTAAACGACATCGATCGGTGGCTGCTGCCTCTGGCAACAAGGGATTCTACATTGATTTATTTTACAACACATTAAATGATACATCTGCTTCACTTCGCCCATCTTCTATGTCTACAATTCCTATCGAGCATGACACAGCTGGAATGCTGGCTGTGAATTTGCCTCCAAATTCATGCCACTCTCTTCGATTTGAGTTTCTTGGTTCTCATTTTGCTAATAATATGAGAAGAATCGGTGAGACCAACACGCGTGCCTTGTCTGAGGATTCCACAGAAACTATGAAAGAACATGCTAATGATGATGAATGTGTGAGGGAAACACATTCACTCCTCCGTGAAGTTCATCGCGCCATCTTTGATGAGCAAGTATAATGGGTTTTTTTTCCTTCCCCTTTTCTTTGTATATTTAGATACATCTATGAGTTCTATCCATTTCATCCATTCTACATCTATCTGTGAGCAAAAAATTCTGTCCTCCATGCATCTATATAATAATTTGACCACATGCTTGGTTCATTGTTTATAGGTGTTTGAATTGATAAGTTACGAAGCATGTAATTCATCTCTAAGTGTAAATCTGACTGGGATACAAGAAAACTATCTAAGCTTGAGCATTAACCAAGGAGCGTCTGTTTCGATTTCACTTCTGCCATCTAGTCAAGATAACAAGACAGACTGTGGAGCAGGCACAAACAGTTCAGAGACTGAAACTTTACCTTCTGAATTATTGGATGGGTCAAAATTTGGAGAAGGAAAAGATAACGTGAAGAAATTGGGGTTTCCAAATCGAATTAGTTTCGAGATTTATTTGCAACAACTGTTTAATGAATATGTGTTTGTAAAAGCAAAAAATAAGACCACGTCTTCTGTTAGAAGTCAGATATCTGGTCAGCAATCAAAGGACAACTTAAATATTCTGGATCATTTCTGCATGTCTCTAGCTCACAGAATCTTCTCAAACAAAGTTCTGTCAGAGCTGGAATATCTGGTATGCACTTGTTTTCCTCATTGACGTATTCTATGTATCAGAAGACATTTAGAAATTTTTTTTAATTTATTTATTTTATTATTATTATTATTATTTATTTATTTATTTATTTATTAGAAGATTTGTCATTTTATTCACAAAAGAAGGTTTCCCTACAAAAGGTTTTTAGATTTTATAATTGGCCTTTTTATATTTATCTGGCAATGACATTTTTTTTGGATGTATTACCACAACTTGAAGGTTTGCAAAACTCCGTATGTCCAGTTGATATCTCACCACACTTGGCATTCACGGACATCTTCATGGACTCTATCAATGAAGGTTCCTCAGTCGATTCTTCATGCTGGAAGCCAAATTCAGTCATCTGGTGCTAACAATGTGAAGAACGTAAAATCTCAGTTTTGGACTAAGGTGGTTGTGATTGATGAATCTATTAGTGTGCAAGGGGAAGGTAATCCTAACGTTGTTGGCCTATTTAATGGAAAGCCCGAGATCACTTGTCCTATCAACAGATACGAATGTGACTTGGCAGATCTTCCTATAATACTCCTGCAGCAGGTAAGATTTGAATCATACACTTTTCCAGAGTGATTTATATTAAGGTGTAGTGTTGCATATGCAATACCTCTATTTATATCATAACTAACTAGTCATCCTTTATACCTCTTGCACTTTGTAGGAGATGCTTGGAACACTTAAGTGACATTAATTGATCATATTTTGTTTTATTTAGCTGTATAATTCACCATTTTCAATTTTCTTTTTCTTTATTTTTTACTTAGGTTTATAACATTAGTTTATATATCTTATTATTGATACATAAGGATTTTATATGAATGATCTTGAAACAGGCCTTCTGCTATCGTACTTTTGTTACAATAAGTGGATTAGTTCTTCTTTGCGCTAAAAGATTTCTAAGAAAGAAGGAAATGGAAAAAATTAAAATAAAATAAAATAAAGAAAGTACAAGTAAAAAAAAGTAATAGGTCAGAATGGCATATTCTCGTCATTTCGGCCATTTGTGGAGATTGGGCAGATGGATACTCCGAAAGGTCCAATCTGGGGAAAAATATAAATAAAAAAATTCGACAGGCAGCTATGTATCAACATTTTTGTTGGGCTTATGAAATGCATAACCTCTTTATGCAACTAATTGTACTTATTAAAATTAATGTTATGTGGACATTGCTTTACTTACTGTTGTCATAAATTATACTGTAGGTTGCTAGTCAAGTTATTCAGTGGCTTCATGAGGAAGCCCTCAGTCTCGGTATTAAAGTGAATAGAGACTTCTTATCGTTGGCATTTGAACTGGACCATGGTGAAATAGCTAGTTTGGTGGCTCATGTAGACCCTGAAGATACCATAGGATGCATCTCATGGTGGTTGATGATAGATGATGGATTAACCGAGGATCTTAAACTTCATCCTGGCCTCTCAATTGGTGAATCTGAAAGCAGGAAATTTCTAGGTCATTTATCTCTGAATGTGTTGTACTCTACTCTATTGGATTTTGTGAACTTGTGTAGCTGTTAATGATTCTGAGCATTTTTATGTTGCACTTGAACATAGAACGGTTTGATTTACAAACTTGACTAGCAAGTGTGCTTGATTTTTGTGAAGTGCACAAGGTTAAGCTAGTCAGCTTAGTTTCCATCAACAAAATGCTGGTTGTTCCGGAGGTATCTTGTCTCGATTTCAATGCAAAGTTTTATCCTCACTGTTGGAATCAAAATAAACTGTCGTTGTATGGTCTGGGTTGTAGTTGTTTAGAATGAATACTTCCTGCTCCAGCCATATCCGTGGGAATGTGACCTACTGGACTATGGACCTTTACCTTGATGGGGATTGTTCTTCTGGGTCTAGTTATAAGCACATGGCTCGTGTAAGATTATAATGCTGTTAAGAGTTTTTTATGCCCTTTTTTTGGCATTTGTCCTGCTTGGTTCTATCATATTATACCGGTCTTGACAATTCTGAATTTTTGGGTCATGTGAAAAGGGAACTGAATGTCTTGCAGGAATATATGTGCATTGTATGGCAGATCATGGACAAATCTCACCAGTGCACAAAAAGACACACACACACACACACACAAAAAAACAATTTCTCTCTAAAATACATGATTTTGGTATGTTTTAGAATCCTAATATTTATTGTGTTCTTTCTTTTAAAGTACATGATTTTTGCAAGTCAAGTTTTCAAAATTTGTGCGTTTTAGGTGAACTGAGATGTAAACAAGGTGATTGAAATATTTTGTAATTGTAGAAATTTGTTAAATATTATGTTATTTGTTGTTAACACAAGGGAGAAAAGGCTTAGGGTCTGTTCTCTTTGACGTTTTCGGGCCATTTTTCGTTTTCGATTTTTCAAAATTGTGAAAATGTGTTCTCTTCCATGTTTTCAAAAACGCGTTTTCAAAAACAAAGAAAAATTTGTGAATAAAACACAAGACGACCAAAATGTCGTTTAGAATGTTTTCTGTACAAAACACGAGAAAAATCCAAAACGCGCAAAACAAGAGAGAGAGGAAAAAAAAAAAACCAACGGCTGTGACTTCCTGCTTCATTCTCTCCTTTCGGTCATCTCTTCCTTCACCCTTCTCGACGTCGACGACGGAATGGTTGATGGTGGTGGCGTTGGTGGTGGCGTCGACGTGGGGAGGCGCAATCCATTCGTCGCGACGCTACCGCGATTGGGTTCGTGGGGAGTCGCGATGTTGCATGGGGAAGCGTGGCCCATTCTCTCTTCGACGTCGACTGTGGTTTGGGAGAGGTGATTTGTAGTGGCGCGATGGGTTATGGGTGTTGATGGTGGTTTCTTCTCCCTCTTTTCTCTCTCACTTTTGGGGGTTTTATTCATTTATTGATCTGGTGTTGATGGTGCTTCAGGTTGATTTTTCGATTTTGGTTTTTCGATCTGGTGTTGATGGTGGTTTAGGGTGGTTTTTCCATTTGGATTTTTTGGCGGTGGTGTGTGGTTCAGGGTGGTGGCAGTGGTGTTGATGTTTGATGGTGGTGGCAGTGGTTGATATTTAATGGTGGTGGCAGTATTGTTGATTGTTGATGGTGGGGCATCGGTGTTGATGGTGGCGGCAGTGGTGTTGCCGGTGGTTGATGGTGGTGGTAAAAAGGTTTTCCAAAATTTCAAAGAATTTCATAGTAAATACGTTTAACGGATTCCATTTTTTGTTTTGAGCAATCGTTTTTCAGAATGGCAAAAAGAACGTATTTTAAACAATTTCAAAACAAATACTCAAAACACAAAATTCAAAATGAGTTCGAAACTCAAAATACAAAACTGAAATACGAAGAGAATAGCTCCTTAATTTTTAGCCTTAATTGTTTCTTGAGGCAAGTAATATAATGCTTTTTTAAAATTGTAATAAAGGTATATTTAGAGTGGGATAAATATATAAAAGTAATGTTAATATATGGCGTTTAAATGATGAATTTGAGTAAGGATAATATTGAAATATAATGTGAATGCATATAATACATTTTTATAATTTTAAAGGTTTAGTAGGGATAGTTGATGAAAATATGTCATCAGCACTTAGTATAAGTTAAATATCGGTGCTTAATAAATTATTCCTCAATACATGGTTGTACATATGAGATATGTGTAATACAACTAATGGATTGAGTAGTCTGGGAAAAGCTTTCTTGGTTTGTTCCATCTAAATGAAGTTGAGTTGCTTGTTTGTAATTTCTTAAATGTATCCGTATGGCTGTTAGCCAGGGTCGGTTCTGTGATTGTCGGAGCTCGAGGCGAAGTCCAAAAATTAGGCCCCTCAAAATCAACGTAAATGCAAAATTCAACGATATAATATGCAACATATTGTTAACGTAAAACTTAAGATTAAAACAACAAACAAATATTTCAATCATCTCACAATTAATGAAAAAACTATTTTCCTTTTTCTTTTCCTTCTTTTAGTATTGAAAAAAAAAAAAAAAAAACTTTGGGCCAAGATAGGCCCTTTGTGGTTTTGGGCTTGAGGCACGAGCCTCATTTGCTATTGTATTGTCTAAGAAACATTTGAAAAAACCAACTCTAGTATTGACGTAGAAAAGATAAAGGGTTAAACCAGTAGTAAAGAAATTAATTATGTAAATAAATTATAATTAAATTTTAGAATGAATCGTCTTATTTTGGGTTGAATTCGATAGTTTTTAAATTTGCTGATTTTGATCGAACAATTTTTGAATTTGCTCATCTCGTTTTGGTCCACCTAATATGGTCCCTAGTTCTAAATGGACAAGTATTTGGCTTTTAATGCCTGTAGTTCTCCAGGTCGAGTTCTAATATTGCGTCCTTCCCACTTAAAATGCTAACTTGTGGTTTATTTGTGTTAAGGGTTGTGAAATAGTAAAATTATGTTTTGATTTATTAACAATTCTCGTTGGAGCACACTAATCTTGAAATTTGATTGTTCGTTTGAGATTTAAACGGATTAAATTGCTATTTTTAACTTAATGGAGTCAGATACCTTATTAATACTCGATGATCTATTCTAAAATGTCAACATTATTAAGTGAAGTAGTCCAAATTCTTTTGTATTCATTTTATATTTACTAATCAAAAGTAAACGTGCGTTGCACGTTGTTCTGAATTGATTTATAAGTGTCGTAAAAATAATATTTGAAGATACCATAATTTGGGAGATAGTTGTAAAAAATTGTTGATGTGAAATGAACTTTTTATTCAATGAGAATCTCTTTGTACACTATATTTTTTGTATGATTTTGGGTATCCGACTTAATTAAAACATTTTGTAGTTGCTTCACAATAACCTGCTTTACATAAACATTTTGACATTGATAAAAGAATTAATAGTGCAAGTTCAACACCTTTAATGTTGACTAAATTATAATTAATTACTATTAATTGAAGAATGGATTCAGAATTATTAAATATACCAGAAACTAAGTCGTCGGATTAGTAAGATAAAAGTTTTTGTTCCCTTTTTTCCTTCTTCTTATCTCCACACCATCTCAAATTCTCACTATCAATTTTACTGTATAAATATAAAATTCAAAAACATAATATCCTATAAAATAAATTAAGGTATTAATGATAAAGCAAAAGACTTATCGAAACACGTAAAGATATGTAGGAGATGAAATATTTATGCCATGTCAGTATTTGAATCTGGAAAATGAATTTAGAAATATTAAATATAAGGATCATTATAGTAAATATATTACCTCCTCATCAATTAGGATGAGCTTCAAAGGATCCAAATTTCCAGTATTGTTTGAATAAGACTCGACTAAACCCTTTCGATCTACCGTCACTTTAATAGACCATTCATTTTCATATGCTGATAAATCTCTTATAGCCTTTGATTCCACAATGGGGGAAAGCAAAATATTTGATGATTTGATTGAAATGTAACAACAACTAATTTGTGAAAATAATATAAATACTTGAGAGATTAATTCATGACGACAATCAAATTCATTCATGAACATGAAATCTAATTAATTTGAATCAATGAATATAGATAAAAGAAGTGTGTACATGAACCACTATATGGGTACATGAACTTACGTTTTTATTGCTACTAATGTCTTTGTGTTTGTGTCAGTACTTTGGTTATGAAATTGAAAAATTGATGCTGCTGATGCGTGTCACATATATACAATGTAATTACCATTGTATGTGTCCATGCATGCATTTACATAAATGTTTTACTAAGAATTGGATATACAATGTATAATTATCACTTTATCTTTCAATTTCTGAATCTCTAACCGAGTGTGATAGGACTCATTGGCTTCTGAAATCAACAGCCTAGCAACCTTGATTTTATCTTGGATCTCATTTTCAATGTTAATTATTATTATGCATGCATGTAAGTAGGGGTAGAATTGTCCAAAAAATGATTATCCGTTCATGTGATATTTAGTATATTATAGATAGGATTTGAATTTATAACACTAACCTATTACTCATCTCTTAATAGAAGAAGAAACGATATCCTAAATAATATTCATTGGACTAAAGGTCAAGCAATTCTTTTGACATATTTTTTGAGTCAAGAATTACATTTTAAGAGAAGCTTGCTCACAGTCATCTCTTTTACGTGAGTTAAAGAGGTGAGAAATTACATTTCAAGGACCGAGCTTCTTACATGTAAAAATCAAAGGTGTGAACAAACTTTTTTCGACCTACCAGAGAAATTACATTTCAAGGACCGAGCTTCATACATGTAAAAATCAAAGGTGTGAACAAACTTTTTATCGACCTACCATATCGATTTCTGCAAACTTTGCTTTTTTAAAGAGTGTCGTCAGTGCTTTTCACTAACGGGGGAAAGCTATCATTCCTTCCATCTGTCTATCCATAAGCAGTGAAAGGGAGCTTGATTCTCCGGCAACTCGCCATTTTCCCATCGAGTCTTCTTGGTTGGGCCTAGCTGATGAAATTCAAACACTGTCCCTAGTCAAACTCATTAGAGGTTTTTGATCTTGAAAGGGTGGGCGGGGGTCACAATGTATAGACGAATGAAAGAGATTAAAAAAAAAAAAAAAGGGTGGGCGGGGGTCACAATGAAAAAAAAAAAAAAAAAAAAAAAAAAAAAAAAAAAAAAAAAGAGAATAGTGTAAAAATTAGTTTTATCACAAAATAATTAAAAATCGTTGAAGAAGTCCGTTTCCAAATATCATTTGCTTTTTCTGATTTATTTATTACTTTCATAGTATAGAACCATCCAGCTTTTAAACTCATTGTTTCCTCATCCTCACTTCTAGAAATGGTAAAATACAAGTAAGAATAGAAATTGCAAAAAAAATTGTTAAATTCAATATTTGTGGGGCCGCCCCAAATGAAGTGGAAATCACCCACTCAATCAGGTATTCGGGTCGTGGTTGGGGATGGGGCAAGGGACTTTCACTCCGAGGCGGGTATTAGTAATAAGGGCCCCATCCCGTTTAATTTATACTTTTTTCAAGAATTCAATACTTTATTAGAAAACTCCATGAAAGTTCATTCGTTCTAGCAGAAAATGACAACTAAGATTATCTAAGAAATATGACAAACAATAAAGCCTTAGTTTACAGAATATATTTAAATAATTTAATTTTAGAAAATAAATAAATAAATTTAAAATTTTAATACATATATTATTATCTCACTCTAATCAAAATATGGGGTAATAAAATGAATTATAAAAGAAAATAAAATTAAACAAGTAGTAACAGGGCAAGGGCTTGGCCCCACCTTGCCTTAAAAGGGTAACGGGAAATTATCCTGCGGGACGATGGACGAGGAGGTTGCCCGAACCCGCCCCATTGACATCTCTAAGTAAGAAGCAACATCAATATTGTCAGTGGGAAGAGAAAAAATGTATTCTAAAAGCTGATAACGAAAAATCCGCCCAATTATAAAATAAAATGGACCACATAACCTAGCTCTCAGTCTAACGTAATTTTTCTTGATATTAAGATCCTCGATGTTTTAAAATTAAATTCTATAATCATTTGAGTTTCTAACAGACTAAATTCACAAGTTTTAACGTTAAAATGATACATGCACTACGTGAATTAAGTTCACGAACAAAAGGAAAAAACACATATATTGATATGAAAAAGATAAATAAAAGAAAGAAAAGGAAAATAAAGTACAAGAAACTCTTTTTTCAATTCATATACCCTCCAATTATCCGACACCTCGGTTTTCTTCGAGTTGAGATCTCCTCTCCCTATTTTCTTGTTCTTTCAATTTAATGCCTCCTATTAGAATTTTAGCACATCAATACATCAACTAGTGTTAGCAAATAACAAGGCAACGGCACATCACATTACAAGTGATATCATTTTAAATTGTAATTTTACTATTTGCTAATACTATCAAATCTAATGACGTGTCAAAATTTTAATAAAGATAAAAAATAAGGGAATAACAAAACCCTACTATTTTTTCCATTTTGTATTCTCTTAACCTCTCTTTTCTCCCACTCAACTCCGAGTTTCCAAGGCAATTTGAGAGTGGGTGTGGACAATGAGTAGCAATGAAGGATTGGAAAGATGGAAATTAATTTTAAATTTTAAGTGCAAATAAGTGTGCATTTTGGGGAGACTCGTGTGTGCTATGAAATAAAATGTAGGACTTAAATGTCAAGAAAAATGTGGTTAGGACTAAATTGCTTCACTATGCAAAAATAGAAGACCTTATGCGCAACTTTCCTTTTAAATGCAAAAGTTTAAACGGCACAATATTCACGTCAGTATAATATTGTTTAGTCTCATTGGATTATAATACAGATGTATGCGACGTTAATATGACTTTAAATGATAAGTTAAATGGCACAAGTTAGCTATATTTAATTAAAATTAATCAAATAATTAATAACCGGACACTGATGAATATTATAATTTCTCATTTATTTTAATTTAGAGTAAATAATTAGTGGGAAGAAAACGGTAAGTTTCCAATGCAAAACATTCTCAAAAGGAACAAGAAACGAATCTGTGGCGTGAATCATGATCCAACTGCCAATCTTGAAAGCACACGCTCCAGCCGCCGCCCCATAGATACCTATCAAAACAAAATTATAGAACTCACAATTTCTCACGTGAATCTCCTCTTTCTATCTGTCATTTTCGGTGTATTAATTGTACATTGATTGGTGCAATTTGAGAAACCACAGAAGTCTGTAGTGTTGAGCACTCCTCAAAGTTTCTTGATTCTTATGTGGGTGTCTATAATTTAAGACTTTTGAGTTTTTAAATTTTGTGACTACTGGAATTATTTTGTGGGTTTTGTTGAATATTTGATTTTTTAATGTGGGTTCTGTAAGAATTATGTGTTTTGATATAGGTTTTGGAGATAGGTGTTGTTTATTGATTCTTATATATGATTCTTTTTGGGTGGTGGGCTTTCTGGGTCTGTGAAGTTTCTGCCTAGAGACTTTCTTTCCTTTTGATTTGAAGTGATACTGAGAAACTGATAAACACAATAGTAGCATTGTTTGGCTGTTTACATTGGACCCCTCTTTGATCAAATTTTTTTGGGTTGCAAAGATTATTCGTTTTGGACTTGTCTTGCGGAGTTGGATTTGCTTTCTTGAATTGTCTTAATAGAGGACTTCTGGCGTGAATTATCCGAGTATTTGATTTGTGGCTATGTCTGGCGGAACACCTGTTGGGTCACTTGGGTGTAAAAGCATGAGGCAGAGGCATAGTCAAGGATATGCCTCGAGTGGTGATGACCTTGAAGATGATGCATGTTCAAGGGCAATGTCTCAACCTTATTCATTGCCGAGAACTAGGACATGGTTTGAAGTTTTAGAGAATTTTCTCTGGATTGCTTCTGCCATTTTTATCGTGTACTATGGGGACAGGAACTCAAATTTCATATACCTCCTGTTGCACGATGATCGGATTAGAAGGTAAGACTGCTAGCTTTAGCTCTTTACCAATTTTGATTTTCCTGCTCAACTTATTGATGAGAATCTTTTACATGAATTAAGCTTAGCCGAATAAAAGAGTGAATTGAAAGGGCTTTTTCATGAATTGAATGTGGGAAAATTGTTCTATATTTTACTGTAAATGTACAATGAGACTGCTTTTTAATAATTGACGATTGCTACTCTTGACCTTTGTGATATCGTTATATGGGAAGACCTATGTTTTTTAGTTTTTGCACATTGGTGATTGTTTGAATTTAGCAGGTGATAGGTTGGATTGTACCAGGGGCCGGGGCAAAGCACTTGTTAGCTAGTTTGTTTAAGATCAGGAGAATAGCATTTTTAGCAAATTCTTTTAATGAAAAGCAGGATAGATTCGATATTAATTGTTTATATGTATAATATGATTAGAATATACATAAACAATAGAATGAAACAAGTTTGTAGTCAATCACAAATATGGAACGAGGTTCTGTTGAGTTTTTGCGAGGTTTATTCTTCTCTTTTTGCTGGGTTTTGGGGATGACGTGGTACTCTATCTACATCACAATCCATCTGTTCCTCTACTGATATTTGTATCCTTGTCCATTGACATGAGTGATATAAAATCATTGTTGTAAGAACTGAAACTGTTTTATGTAAAAAGTGGGTTATATCTCTTACTGCAGTAGCATTCTACTCAGACTCAATGCATGCCATGCAGTGATAGACTGTGTTGACTTTCTGGGATCTGCATATTTACTTTTGGCTATTTTATTCAACAATCCCCTTAATCAAACTTCAACTCTCATGCCTCTCCACAGCCCCTACCTCGAATTTCACTCTGTTAAGTTCAAAAACAAACCTTTATGCTCGTTATATTGTCAGCCAATAAAGAGAAACAGATTTAAATTTAGTGGTTTACTTAAACTTCCTCACACACAATCTTGAAATTGAGTCATCTTATAGACCAGGAAAAAGTTTGGCAGACACACTCAACATTCACTATACCTCTTGAAGTTTTTGTTGCCTAATTTTCTTTTCTGCATCTTGCAGAATAGGAATGCAATTTACAGGAATTTCTAGAAAAGGGAAATAAGAGATGTAGCCTATTGCTATTCAATATTTCTGATGTTCTGAAATGGGATTAACTAAATTAAACTTGCCCTTGAAAATGGCTGTAATTTATCAGAATTAAAGGTCAGAGAATTGCTGTCTAAAAAATGAGTCAGTGTTCTTGCATTCTTCACCAAATTCTGGATATGGTTACAGGGATATGTCTTACTTATCTCTCTTTCCTTTTTTCGTTTTTTTTTCATTTTTCTTTTTCTTTTTTTTTTTTGGTTGTGTAGAAATCATTTTAAATTCAATTCCATAATAACAATACATGATTTTAATCCAATTCTGAAAAAAAAAAAAAAAAAAAAAAATCATTGGAGGCAAATAACCGCAAGTAACCCCTTTTTATCAAACCACCAATATTCTATTAATAAAGTAGAATTAACATGGTTCAACTAGGCCTAACCGTCAATATACTCAACAAATATGAGCGAAGCACGCTATACAAATCATTCTCTATAGTCTCCAAACAACACAAAATCCCAACATTACATCTTCTTCATCACATTTCTCTAATTTCCCAGAGCCAAAAGAAACCCCTATTTTTCAACCTTCCAAGACTCCCTCCCATCCTCTTGGGACCTTTTTTTGTCAGTCAGAAGTAACCCCCATTTTTCAACTTCCCAAGTCTGTCTCCCTTCCTCTTCCGACCTTCATTCGTTGTCATTCAAAATCAAATGATGCTCCTCTTGTCTTCTTCCTTCGAGTTTTGGGACGATAAAAAATGGTGAGTCCACATTCCCTTATCTTCTTCCTTTCCCATGCTTTTGTGTTGGACAGAAAGACCAAGGACCCGATTCAGATCCCATGTTAGCATCCGTGTCATATTGCGTCAACACGAGGACTTCATTATTTCTTGAAGAGATCTAGCATCACAACCAAAGATAAATATATTAAGGAGCAATTAATGAGTGTGAGAACTAACTGGAATAATAGTATATAATTCTAATTTTTTTTTGTGCATGCATCAAGATTTTGCACTAGGTCCTTCTCTTGTCGATTTTGTCAATAATAAATTTTCAAGATATCTAAGATGAGGCCCCTCGGTCACATAATTCGTTCATGATAAAATTTCAATTGATAAAACTTAAAGGGGCTTGAACTATAGTTAAAACTTTGGAGAAAGATTAGAATTTAAATACTTTAGGTGAAATATAATTAAGACTCAATACAAAACACATTGCCAAGACACCTCAAACCATTTGCTTATTCCCTTATACTATACTTATGAATGAACATTTACTTATAGTAAGAATAAGGAAGATATTGGAGTTGTAATAAATCATGTTGTATCAAAAAGTGATACATAATTAAATCCGACTATTTATAATATGGAATCAATACTTGAGGAGAATGTAATAATGCAATTGAAGCACATGTAAGGAAGTATTGCAATGATATCATGTGATGGGAGAAAACCTACCAAATTAAAGGATGCGTTAGAAATGGTTCTTATACCAACTATGCTTTATGGTAATGATCGTCGAGCCATTAAAGGACAATATCTACAAGATGGAATAACTGATGAGATGATGTCAATATGATGTGCAGTTATGTTGGATTAGATAAATAATAAATGTCAAAAAAGATGCAAACATTCATGAGTTCCAACTACTAAATTTTTCATGAGAGAGTAACTTAAAATCTAAAAAAAAATATCAATGCATTTTCGTACTTTTTTGTGATACATGCCCTCCCATCTCCCGATGTTTAGAAATAAAATACATCACAGTGTCTGCACCTGTGATGCTTGGACTCTTCAAAAATGATGAAGTACTCATGTCAACATGACATGATATGAGGTTTGGATTGCATCCTTGGTGTCGAAAGGAAGAAGACATGGGAAGGTGTACTGACAATTGTTGACTGTTAAAAAACTCATAAGGAGAAGATGAGAGAAGCGACATCTGATTTTGATTGATGAAGAAGAGGAAGCGATTGAGACTTGGAAAGTTGAAAAATTGGGGTTGCTTCAGGCTTTGCAAAAATAGGGCGATGTGATGATGTATAATTTGTAGGCTACAGAAAATGATTTGTTAAGTGGGCTTGACTCACCTTTTGTTGGGTTCAAGACTGCTAGGCCTAGTTAGACCATGTTCATTCTATTTTATTAATATAAAATGCCACATTGGTTGTTTAATTAAAATAGGGTTACTGGTGGGTTATTATTTTATTATTATTATTATTATTTTTGAATTAGATTTAAAATGAATTATTGTTATATAGTTTTTTACTATGTTGGCATTGAATGTAAACTGATTTTTCTATAAAAAAAAAATGCTTGTTAATTCGTATTCTCATATCCAAAATTTGGGTCCTTTTTAATTGTATCCCCATATCCTAAATTTTAAATGAAGAGGGATTCTACTCCTACATGTGTAACCATACCCGAGTCCGTGCAACATAGATCTTTAGTATATTGTTATATTAATTAAAGTTTCTTTGTGTAACGCTTAGTGTAGCACTTCTCGGGATACATTATTATGTGTTCTTACTTTGATAAAATTCATGCATGGAATTCTTCTTTCTATCCATTTTTAGAGCATCTCGTGGCATTGAAGCTATCCTGTGCCTTAAAATTGCACCTCAAGCTATGCTGAATTTTGTTTGCTTAATTCCATAATCACTTACTGTCACATTTCTCACATTCGAGTCCAATTTGAAATTGGTTAATCACCCTAAATGATCATGGAACTGGAACCAATTAGCTCATGAGCTTAATGCCTCTATGTTATGTACAAAATGTAATTCCCTTCTAATATGTTTTATCTAATAAGTAAGAGAAAACTTGTACAAGAAATTGTTAGCAATGGAAGTTACAAGGTTATGTATGGTTTTAATGATGCAGTATGCTCGTGTCCCTACATGGTTATGCTGTATCTCTATAGAAGGGGTTTGAGGGTGATACAGTCTGACATGAATGATACATCTAGTCCGCAGATGTTTAATAATAATATATTATCAACGATATGGATATAGGTATACAATAAAGGTATGGAAGCCATTTTCAAGTATTTGTGCTATGTGGTCACACGCCCTTTTTCTTTTTCTCTTCTTCTTCTTCTTCTTCTTTTTTTTTTTCTTAATTTGATTTGTGTTAGGAAAGTCTTTTCAAGGGGTTTCTTGATAATTTATTTTCAGAGACCTGTGAGATATCTTACTAGTAGACGTAGACGAGCCCCTCTTCTCAAAAGTTATTGAAAGATCGTTCAAGCTTGTTTTGCATAACAAAATCCCTCTTTCATGGTTTTGAGGCTTCTAAACTGCCTTTTTTAAAAAAAAAATAAAAAAAAATAAAAAAATCTTCAACTTTCATCTTTCCCACATGTGGCCCCAAATCACTTTTCAGCCAATCTGCAATGCTGCATCCTTCCAACATCCAGCTCTAGCCATTGTGTTAGTGTCTCCTCCCAGCAGCCTAGCCAGCCTCCTAATAGTTGAGCGCCCCCCCGGCCCTAACACAGTTTCCTTTCATCCCTTTGAATTCAGCCTCCTCCCCACACCACAGCCAACTCTTTTTCTCCCAAAACTACACAAAATCTCAGCTTTTGGAATGTCCCAGGGCTTGTGTGCAGTGGGAGAAGGTGAAATCTAGGAATTATTGAAGTTTTTTCTTATTTACAAGAGCAGTTTAGGTATTAGACATTCTTTTTCTGAAAAAAAAGTTGTACAATACTGTAAAATGGGGAATCTATTGTGAAAAACAAACCTAATGAGGTGTCAGTAATTCTTGAAAAGAGAGGAGAGTATCTGTGTAGTAGTTATGTCCTTTTGTTTGTAAGAAGAACCATAAATGTTGTTTCCATTCATTTTTGTTTACTTGTTCACATTCATAAAATTTCCCTCCTTGCATTAAATAAAATTTTAATGCAGGTTTTCTTTTGCTTTATGGCCAATTTGGAGTTTCTTGACATTGCCTCTCATGGTATGTTTCTTGATTTTCTCTGGATTTTTTCATGTATCTGTTGAGAAATGGTTGGTTCAAGGGCAAGCATAGTTTTACTTCTTTTGGAGATGATTTCTAAAGGAATACATTTGTATAATATATGCATAGGTTCTCTGAAAAACTAACAGCATAATTTGACGCGGGCATAGTTGATTCCCTTAACTTTTTTGCTTGACATAAGTTTCCTATGTCCTCGCTTATGAACACTATCCATAGTAATACAGTTAATTTCCTGTGCCGATCTAGATTTTGGAATATAACATGTCTGTTGGTAATATAATTTCGTATTACAACTTGTTTTATTATATAATACAGTTTTATTATATAATTTCGTATTACAACATGTTGACACTCATAATTTGTTGGTAAATCTGACACCAACACGAGGAGAAAGGGATTTGGTCGTTCTCTTCTTCCTCTTCCTCATAGTTTACTAAAAAATGTATGCCTTTTAGTTGACTTGGACCCTGAAGAAATGGAGGCTGGGTGATTCAACTCCGACGGTCATGTTAGGTTTTTTATTCGTAGAATGGAGAATAACTGTATTTAAAAGGAATTTTGTTCATTTTATATTTCATAGATTACGTGATGTGATTATCAAAGCGAAAGTTTTCTGGAGATATTTACAGATGGAGAGTAATGGGAAATGTCACCTTTAACTAGGAGTCACTGTCGGTGACAGGTACCTTTGTGTCGTGTGGGTTGGCTTGTTGAATTGTCTGTGAAATGCTTGTTTAGCTGTCCTTGGAACATTTTTATTTGAGACTCACTTTTCTGGGTACTTGTTTTCTTTTGTTTTTAGTCTTTTTCAACTGTCAACATATTGTTTGTTGTCTTTTATTTGTATTGTGAAATCTTTTGAATCACACAAGTGTATTTGTTGGCTAAGATAATTCTTGGTTTAAACTATATACTATTTTGGGAATATCATTAAATAGCGCTTTGTATGTCTTTGATTTGTCCTCGTGTTAGAATCTAAGAAGCACGAATACTTGTGAACTTATTACGTATCAGTATTTGATATGTATCCAAGTTTGAATACTCTCCTATATGCTTCAATTTGCATCGGATATGAGTTTTTAATTATTTTTATATTTTTTTTAGTATTTCTGATATGTCTCAAATAAGTTATGACACATGAAGAAGAATTTTATTGATTTTAAACTTTTTTAAAACTCATTATTCTAGAAGTTTTTTATTTTTTATTTTTTTACTTGATAGATAACTATTGTTATTATTAAAAATTTATTGAAAATAGATAATATATATTGGAAGTATACAACAGTATTAAATGTTTTAATACATGTAAAATCGTGTTAAGAAATTATATATTAATATAATCAAACTCCACTTTATATTTAATAAATTGGTTAATTCGTAGCAATCTCGTCTTTTATTAAAAAAAAAAATTAAATCTCTATTGAAAAGAGAAAAAATCAAAATGTGGGACATTGTCCAAGATTCATTTGATATTCTTGAAAATATTAGGCTGCTTGAGGTTGATAATCTATTATTACACGAATTAGAGTTCATAAATGTTATTTTTAATAATTGTAAAGAAGTTTATGTTGGTGATATTGAAGAAATTGAAATTGTAATAACTAAGAATTAAGATAAAATGCTTTAGCATTTTCTTTTATTTTAAAAAAAAAAATTAAATCTCTATTGAAAAGAGAAAAAATCAAAATGTGGGACATTGTCCAAGATTCATTTGATATTCTTGAAAATATTAGGCTGCTTGAGGTTGATAATCTATTATTACACGAATTAGAGTTCATAAATGTTATTTTTAATAATTGTAAAGAAGTTTATGTTGGTGATATTGAAGAAATTGAAATTGTAATAACTAAGAATTAAGATAAAATGCTTTAGCATTTTCTTTTATTTTTATTATTATCATGCCTCGCTTTAGTTTTTATTTTTTTTATATTAATGAAATTATGATAAATTATATATATATACACACACACACACACACACACACACACACACACACACACACCCACCTTATAGTATCGTATTCAAATTATGTATCATTATTCATGTTTATTAGGTTAAAACTATAAAAATATGGATAATATGAAACATCCCATATTAGGGGTGCACACGGTTCGGTTTGGTCGGTTTGTGACAAATTTTCAAAGCAAACCACTTAAAGCGGTTTGAAATATTTTCAAACCAAACCAAACCAATTCAATTTCCAAACCAAACCAATCCAAACCACTTTTTTCGGTTTGGTTCGGTTTAAAACCACGGTTTAACGAAAAAAAATGTACATCGAACAAGTTAAATCATAAATTTTAATCTTAAATATCACGTTAAAATATAAATATTAGTATTATTATAAATACTATGAAGAAATATTTTTCAGTTCTAATAATTCAATACAGTGAGACAATTTGTTCTAACCTCTTAATCAATACTAATTGGCAAACCATCTCCAGTAGTAACACATGATTCGTTATCTGCATATAACAAATATATGCATTTATTAAAATTAAATGGTGTAAAAAACTATAAAATTAAGTGAATAGAATGATAAAATACGATAATACCTTCTATAACTTTTTCTGAATCATCCAATGCTTCTACTTCATCCAAATATTGACGAATCACAATAGGTTCCTTGTTACCATGTAACCAATTTTTAGTGCAAATCACTGCCTCAACCATCTTTGCACTTAATGAACTCCTAAAAGAATCGAGAATCCGACCACTAGTAGAGAATGCAGACTCAGAAGCAACCGTAGATATTTGAATGGCTAACACATCTTTGGCAATTTGGGAGACAATCTTGTACTTATTTTCATTCAATTTCCACCAATTTAATATGTCGAAATCATCATTGGTCAAATCTTCACAACGATCATTTAAATAATCCACCAAATCATTCTTCTCTGCTTTAGTTTCTTGCATAAGCCTAGCTCTAAAAATTGAGGGAATAGGTTTAGAAGTTCCAAAAGTAGTTTGTAAAGCACTTTGGCTTCTAGGTTGAGTAGCATCCTTTGGTGGGACTAATGGTGGAGTCATCATTTCCTTATAGCATTCATATAACCTGTGAAGCGTGTTTTCAACTTTTTTTAACAACATGTTTGCAATTTGTACATCATAAATAAGTTCAAACCCAACTTTAAGCAATTCCAACTTGCATCTAGGGTCAAGAACTGTTGCTATGAACAACAATTGATTAAACTTTTCAAGATTTCCCCAATACTTATCATATTTTCTTCTCATGCTAACTGCCATGGATCCTATCATACTATTTGGCTCTTTAGCTAATTCATTCAACTCCGCATGAATTTCACATATTTCTTGAAAGAAAGTGTTTGACGTTACATATAAAGAGCCACTAATTTTCAATGTCATATCATAAAAAGTCTTCAAGAATCCAACAAATGCTTCTGCTTGGTCCCAATCGACATGTGTTAGTGGTCCATCTATATTTTTCCCATTAGAC